TGGGAATTCTTTGAAAAACCAAGTTCAGGGTGTGAAAGCTGAGGAGCAGGCAGTGCTGCCGCTGCCATGCGGAGCCTGGAGGGAGATGCTCCGCAAGGGCGTGTTGGACAGGGAAGAACATTCTCCCCCGTTTGCAATCTGCAGCGATGGCATTTCCATCAGAAAGAAGATCCCACCGTAGCAAATGAAAGAACTTCATAGCTCTCTGGGGAAAAATGTGTTTCAAGGTATGGCACCTGAGCTGAACAAGACTCGTATTTTGTTAGGAGGACCATAAACGCAATCTGCTCAGGCAGGCCTGCTTCTTAAGTGATTCTGGAGGACGCAGCCAGGATAATAAATTAAGCAGTTCTTCACAACAGTAAGTATGTGCATATGTGTGCATTCGCGGTTTAAGTTGGCTCAAAAATTACAGAATTTAAATGAGTTAAGGGATTTTAGAAAACGTGAAAATAATGGAAAATTGTACAGTATGTATTTTTTCCACTGACATCAATCTTTTTCTTTCAGTTAACGAGAGAGGCACACTACAGCCCAGTGAAAAATCAAACACAAAAGATTAAAAAAAATCCAGAATAGCTAAACTCTAATCCCAGATCTGACAACACGAATTTCCACTGCAGCCTAGAACAAGAGCGTGATTTCTCTGCAACTAAACTCCACAGATGACAAGGCTGGGTGGTGTGAATTACGAACCCACATTATCTACTTGGCTTTTGCACTTCTCACAATTATTCCACCTGTACAGCCAGAGCCCACTGTACAATGTGTACAATTAGCTAAACACCCGCACAGCGCTACCTTTGTGTTTTATCATCTGTACTTGTAATCCTGTCAAATCTCTTAAATAAGTCCAACAGGATGTTGGTGCGATACATGAATGTTGCTGATCCACATACAGGTCAAACAGTAGCATTAAATCACTTTGCAATTAAAAAACATAAAAATCTGTAAAAAGTAAACGTTTAAGCTCCTCCCCAAATTTAAGAAATTTCATAGAAACGTTGCATTTCTTCCAAAGTCAAACTTTACTAAGGGGAAAAAAATGAATTGAAACATGCCAACAAAGTGCACGAATTATTTCAACTCTGCCCGTTAAGGGACCAGAAAAAAAAGATCAAATGTCTTCACGTGAGCACATGTTGTCACGGAAAAGGTAAATTCTAAATTTTCTTCAGCGTCACTATAGGCTACAGCCGTACGTTTCCATGCCCTCATTTGTCTGGATTTCTTTCAAGTCTGACCTCAATTCCAGGTATTTCCTGGGTTTATAATACGTAGCTTGGGGATATTTACAACAAACCTTTCACGTGTTTTGTCCTCAATAACTGAATGCATTCTTAACCTTAATTCCATCTTAACATTGCAAAAGAGAAACGATGTACCTTTATTAAATAAACGGAAAAACTCAGGCGCAAACAAGAAGCAAGCAGCCCAAAGAACGCTACCTTGCAGTTTTTCAAATGATTTGCAAATACAGAGTATGTTGATTCTTTAATAATTGTTTATTTTAACTTTTATTGCCCAATTCAGGGGTACACTCTGCCTACTCAATGCTGTGGTAAAGCAGCACAAGAATAACACAGCTGTGTTGAGATGCACGTTCCGCTAGAGCATTGCAGAGCAGCTGGTTTGCCCCTTCAGTCCCCCGCCCTGCCCTGTAAATCCCCGTCCTCCGCCCGCCCTCTCTCCCCTTCCACCTTCACCTGCGTGTGCACGCAGCCTCATCGCCACCTGCCTCTTCCTCCTCGTCAAGCCCACCTTAGTCCTACGCGCACCTATACACACACTTCCTACCCCGGGGTAGATGGGATACACCGGGTACCTTCGAAAAATAATTACTTAATCGGCAACAACTCGCAGGCCATTTCTCATTAACTGATCACTCTCATCTTCAAGCAAAGGTTGTCATACCAAATCTTGAAAGTCATCCAGTTTTAGTGACTATCTGCTTGGTTTTCATCACGGTTGAGGTCTTCTCCCAAAAAGGCCAACAGTCCCTACAGCTCTCGAGGACAGTGAAACCCACTCCGTAGTGCCTGATGCTGTCAGACAGGAGGCAGAACACTGAATTAATTGCACAAAAAGAATGTCAGAGAAAGGCCCAGTGACTTCAGACTCGCTGACTACTGCCCCAAACAGGCCGCTCGCTGCCACAGAACTGTCTCTGCTGATGCTGAAATTTCAATTACAGACAATTAAAACAGAACAAAAAAACCGCCAAAAAATAAAACTCAAAAAAACTGGCTTGACCACAGATACCAAGTTTCTTAAGAAATACATTCTTTAAAGCTACCTTCTAATGAAGCAAACCAATTCACTTGCAAGTCCTTAGAAAAATCTCTTTATAAACAGAGTGTTTTAATTTTATGGAAGATCTTTTAGTCTGTAACAAAAAAGCCGAATTCCTACTTAAAATGGAAACCTCCTTTTGTTAGCTGCAGCTGATCCCTTCTAAATTTGTTAATGTACTTCATTTTACCAGTTAAACCTTTAACTCCTTTACCCATTAGTGTCATGTTATTACTTGTTCTTTTATGACCTATAAAATATTACTGTTCTAAAAAAGCTAAATCCCACATTTATCCACAGTGAACACTTACGCTATATCTTCACTATTTCTGTAAAAAAAGGAGATGTTTTTCTGATACTTTTTCCTTCAACACCATCACATCTACAACGTTTTCCTACAAAGTTAATCAGTATAAAATCTAGATCAGATCCATAGCAACTATAAAAAAATATATAACAACTATTTCAGGACAAAGGCTTTTCGTCAGTGCCAAATTTGCCTCTGACACACACACACACACAACGCTCCCACTGGTACCAGTGGGAGAGCCACACGTGTATCTGAGACACGTTCCTAGACCTAGGCAAGACTTCTGATACCGCAGGACATGCAGGACTTGCTTGCTAACAATTAGACTATGGACCATGTTTACAATAAGATCCTGAACGGCCTCAGTCGCGGATGAGTCACGTTACTTTTCACTGCCACTACTTCTGCGTTGTTATCAATTAATAAGCGGCCAAAGTTAAAACTGATGACTCCCACAACACACGGATCCAGCTAAACGCTTCCAACAACGCCCCAAGAACCATAAGTTCACTTATTGTATTTTTAACAACACAGGGCCTTTGTTGTTATAAATTTCAAAACAAAACCAAAGAATTCCACATAATATTTATACTTTCAAAAGTACAATATTAATACAGGTCGGTCAGTTAGAAATGACAGCAGTTTGTTAGGTCTACAAGATTTAACATAAAACCGGTTTACAAATGCTGAAAAGCAGTAGTGGTCCAATAGTCACCATTACACATGAATTTCTCTCTCCAGAAAATTAAAAAAAAAAAAAAAAATCCCAATTCAAATTTACCAGTATCAATGAAATATTAATAAAACACCCCCAAACATGCCACAATCACTATTCACAAATAAAGTTAAAATGAAATATACAAAAATTCACTTAATACTGTTAAATAACAATAAACTACAAGATTTCCTGAACAGAAATGGTAGGACCCCTGAACGTTTTACAGTGAATGTCAGGAAAAATTAAGTTACCTATGACTATTTTCATGATATACCAGCCAAAGATTTACATGACCATTTCAAAATATACCAATAAAGATTTACAGTCTCTTTAAGATGCACTAAACAAATAGATTCATAAAGGTGAACACAAATGCTTAAAAATACTGTAACCATCACCAAGGGTGTACTTATGATACTCACTGAGATGCATAAGCATAGTAGTAACATGTTTACTATCTCTGGTAAACAGATAACATCTAAGTTCTGAAAAACTCTCTAAGTTCCCCATGTAAAAGCTCTGTAGCATAGCGAGTTCTTATCAAGTACAAACTTGCATCTTCCCAGTTGATTTCAAGTGAATAATGCACAAATGCGAGAGCAACAAGGCGGGAAAAGTGTGACATTATTCCCATGTTCTTGTAATTAGTTGCCCCGTTCCTCTGTAATGAAAAGATTCTAAATTTCAAAAGTAAGCCAGGGTCCAACGTATATGAATCACCTTTTTACTATTTGTATTTCTAAGTTAAAAACAAGGTAAAAAAGTCATTGCTTCTGCAGGCCCCATATGCACAACAATGTGCAAATATCTTATGCTGGAGTAAGCCTGACAAAATTTATCATCCAGTCTCCATGCTCTAATTTATCAATAACTAACATAGGATCTGAGAGCAAACAACAGTTACTGTTCACTTGTTTGAATCAACTTTCACACCATGTGCTTTTCAAAAACATAATATGCATTATAATTTTTCAACTATTTCAACACATACTTCCAATGTCAAATAACGAATTAAGTGCCATGAACTTAGAGCATTAAAGATGGTTCACCTATAGCCAAGCAAAGCTATGTTTACATTCCAGGAAACACTGCAGTTTAAGAAATACAAAATAACCCCGCAGCAGTAGAACATTTTATGAAGAGAAACAGATGCATTCACGTATTATAAAGCCATTGCAACTTCTTCAGGCATGGAACTGTTGTGTTAACTATACAGACAGTAGTTATTTAGCAGCAATGATTCCGCAATAAATAATGCACTGTGTTTCTCAGTCCTGCACAAAAATTGCAGCTACAGTTACATCAACAGCTGTAACCTACTGGCTCTAGTGGCAGAGGAGACCTTAAAACCAACTGTACAAAAAATTGTCACACTGTGACAACAAATATAAAAACATAATCTGCAGGTTGGAAATAAAAAGACTCCACTGTGAAGAGGACAGTGTAGACAAACTGCGATTCCAAGTCCACCAACAGAGAGCACTGCCTTCAGATCCGAGTCCTTGATCGATAGGATAGGCTTGGGCTTGACTCTGCATCGCCCACTTTAAAAAAGCATGCTCTGCCTTCTGTTCTTCCCATGTCCTACAACAGAACATGGACCGTGGTAAGAAACCAAAGCATTCGCACAACAGAGTATTCAGTTATTATCCACATCTTCTGTCTTTCAAGAGAATATCCTTTGTGCTTAAACCAGTATGAGGATCTGTCTTTTAACTGCACTTGTTGCACTTTTTTTTATTCTTAACCTTTGCCACCATTCACCCACACAGCAATGGTTTGTAACTCCAAGACACATTAACAGCCATATTAATTAACTCATACTAACAGCCCCTCTGCCCATCCCTAGTAAAACTCACCTCCTTCTGTGCATTTAGCTTATATGTCTCTACAGGAATCTGAGCCAATCGTTCTTGCTATTTGTTTGAGTATAATCAGATAGACCAATTTAACAAAGTATTTTTCAGTTCCGAGTGTCTCTGGTGCAGCATTCTGTTTGCAGATATGAGAAAATATTAAGCTTTCCGTACCTGTCTCTGGGTAAGTGGAATTTCGAAAGCCAGGGTCTTTTTGCAACTGAATCTCTTTTAGACTGAATATTGAAACACCTGGAACGTAACAAAGAAATTAATTCATATCCAAACATAACTATGCTTTATTGAACAAAGTTCTATTCTTAATTATGCAGTTCAGAGTAAAAAAAATGCTTCCTCTTCCCAAATACTTAAGTCAATATACACCAGACCTCTTTAATAGATTAGACTTGAGAGTTTTTCCTTAAGCAATGTACTTAGTTTCAATGTACTATCTTAACAACACTGCTACTTCACTACTCCTCTTACTTTCAGGCAAAGTGTGTATTCTTGTTCCAAGACTTCTGAAATATGCATGTTTCATGGCCTCTTCTGCTGAAATTCTCTTCTTCGATTCATACTATTAACACAGAAGGATACAAGTCTGTTGGTTTTCATTAAAAAACTCTTTGCATCAAGTGATTTAATCAAAGGGAGAAATAGAGTTCTACTTGCTCAATATTTCCCGCCAACTCACTAGGACAAATTGGTTGTCATTACTTTTATTTCACACATAAAAATCCAACATATGTTACCTAAATCAGTATCATCAATACATAACAAGACTACTAAAATAGTCAAAATAACTGCTGTAAATGGATGCAAGTCAAAAATATAATTAATCTTTATTTATAGATGTCACAACGATTAGATGACAGACTTCTGTCTACGTTATATTCTAATATTAAATTGTAATGAAGTGCTATTACACGAGATCACAAAAGTTTCCTAATTCGATGGACTACGCTGCAGTGCTTTGCATAAATGGACCTTTAGACAACATGGTCTTCAGTGTGCTCAAATGTCCCCTGCTTGCCATATGTGGACATTTGGACAAAGACGCGGATGTTTAAAAAGTTGTATACAAACAAGAAAAAAGTGCAAACAAGGACTGCAAGTACTGTGCTGACACAATGTGTAAATAGATGAAAACCTGATGTAGAACTGAAATCACAGGGTGCAAAGCGGAGTAACTGCACTACACCTCATGTACTAAGAACTGCACTAAGAACTTATAACAACGTGAAGTTACAGTGCTTCTTCATCTACTCAAAAACTTCCATCTTGCTTCCCCTCTTCTTGCTTCTGGCTCATTTTTAACACAGATTAAAAGATTAAATCCACGTACCACTTCACCTTTCGAATGCAGTTTGCAAGACCAAAGAGTAGTATTACACCTTCGTAACTGCTTCTCTAGCAGTAAGCCAAGTTCGTCATTACAGAAACTTAGTATTTGTATTTAAAAGTTCTTTTTTAATACTGTACTTCACAAGAGATTTAATTTTTTCAGGGAATTGCTAACACAGAATCAATTCTGCTTCTATAACAAGTACTAAGAGAATAAATCACTTCTGGCAAAAGTAAAAAAAAACAAACACCAGGTTTTAAATTCTTACAGTACGTATGCTTCCCAAAATTGTCATTCTTCCCAAATCTGTCGTCTTCTACAGACTCAGCTGCCTATTTCCACTTTGACATAGATCTAACAGATACTACAACTTCTAATACATTTTGTAAATAAGATGGTAAAACTCTAAACTTGCACTTTTATAAAGCAAAGCCACAAAACATATCTTACCTGAAGGAACTTCACTATCAACTCGATTCCTTCCGTGTCTAGTCTAAAAATAAAAACATTTTAAAAAGTTAAAACAGTTAATGAACTATATTTACAAAAGCAAAACTGCAAAGGAATTGACTTCATTAAATGATATCAAACCTGAAAATTGAATTTAAACATGGAAATGTTTTCACCTGAACAAGTCTTCTGCATGTTAATGTGATACATATGACTACCAACATCTCACAAGACTACTTGAAAAAGCTGGAGACAAATCCCGAGCTTTGGATTGTGATTTAGTAAGTTGATCTAGATTATTTATTGTAGCCAAAAAGCCTTTTTTTTTTTTTTTTAAAGTCTAACACTGCTGATTTACTAGATATTTTTCTTCAGAGTTGATAAAAAAAACGTGGTAGCCTTTTTTATAACACTTATTTATAATAACTCCGCAGACCCTTCAAATTCCTCATAATGGTTTTAGAAGGATTTCAAGAGACTGCTCAAGGAAACTTTGGCATTTTAACAACAGGCCTATTATATAACAGAAGAGAAGTTGGGTTATTTAGGAAGTGCTGTGTGAATACTCCTACTACGCAGGCATTATTAATTGGACTTTATAGTTCTATAGGCCATTATGGAGTTGTGGCACCTTGGATGATATTAGACAAAGTAATCACTAGCAGCAGGGTGATGCTTTGCATTACTGTCTGCCCACAATAACACAACTGATACGTAGTTTTCCAGCACTCAGTAGCAGACCGTTCTTGGAAACACGGTCACATTTACAAATATACAAAGCCTCAGGGATGCATATTTTCTATTAATAAAACACAAAGTACCTTGGCGCGTGGTTGATGAGGGGTTGTGGTTTATACTTAGGAAAGTTGTAGTTTCTAAATTCGTCACTGGAAGAAATGCCTGGCCATGTTTCTTGACATGGGGTTCCTGCATTTAAAAACAGCAACAAATTCAACTTAAAAAAACATAAAGAAACAACTCTGACATAAACAGGTATTTAATCCTGTAATTTAAACGGGAAAGAAAAAAAAAAAATTGGTCAGTAAGTCTATGTACTAACTCATCTGTGCACTCAGCCCAATCATTTTTGATCAAGAATACACTCATTCACCTTAATTACAACGTGATATATAATACCATTGCTCATAGATAAAGATCTACAGTTCTCGTCGAGAAGGTGTTTAGAAGAATAAACGTATAGCATTAACATTACTGCTGAAAGTATCCATTTACCCAGAAGTCTGAAAATTAAGTGCAGTTCATCTTCAACAGTCGAACCAGGAAAAAGAGGCCTTCCTGATGCCATTTCAAAAAATATGCATCCGACACCCCTTTATAAAAGCAGAGAAAAAGATAAATCAGAAACAATGCAACAATTTAAGCTTTCAGCTCCTAAAGACCTCTATGATTTCTCTTCAATAAAAACAAATTATTAAATTAGTTGTTAGCCACATGCTGCTATGAAAAAGATTGTTTTGAAAGATATGTAGCAACAAAAGAACTGTCAAAGACTAAACAAAACCTATGTGGTAGCTACATTATATCCTCTTCCTTCAGATGTCAAGTTTATCCATTGTATTGAAGTTCATAGTAAAATACCACGTTATCATGTCATTAAGAGAACACCTATTGTTTTTTTTCCTTCCCTAACACAGTGGGCCTAATGTCTGCATACTCTAAGCAATAAAAAGGTACTCTGCATTTTCAGAGAGAAGTAATAGCATCTTCCCTGCCTGCCAATCTTTTCTCTAAAAATCTAACTCAGTTGTAGCCTTCAAAAATTCAAAGGATTAGTATTTGAATGCTACTACATAATAAGAAAGAGTTGACATTTTTTTTTAACTTGACTGAAAACAAAAATTTAAGTTAGACAAAGCTATACAAACCACATGTCAATCTGAGTTGAATACTCTGAAGATCCAAGGAGAACATCAGGTGGTCTGTACCACAACGTGACAACTTCATTGGAATAGGTCTTTGTAGGAACAGACTTTGCTCTAGCCAATCCTTGATAAAAAGGGAAATAGAGAGTCAAGTGCAGCTTGCTGAAATCTTTTTTTTTGCATGGAATTGCCAAGAATTTTTAAGAGCTAAATCAGCCTTATTATACTTGCTAAATACCTTCCCAATTATTCCTTCATTATAAAGCTCTAATAAATACATTTCTACAACTTGTGATTTGCCTTTTAGTATTTAGAGCAATCTCATGATCTGCATTTTTAAGCGTAGAAGGCAAGTAAACAGATCAAAACCTGGAGTAATCCTATAAATTTTAATTAAAACAACTACACGTTACATCAATATGACACCTCCTCCCTATGCAAACCCTTCTGCACTATTTCCATCTGAGAATTACGTTGCAAGAGGCAGAAGGCAACAAATGAATAATGAAATGGTGGAAACAGACCAAATCAGTTTTGGCTCAGCAGGGATTTTCCACCCTAACATTGTCAGTTTGTAGTAACATCTTCAATATAATTTAGGTCTATCTCATTGCAATCTTTTGAGCAACCTTAATTCACACACAAGGGGAAAGACCAGTGGTAGCACAACTTTCAAAGGACTTTCCTGACATAGAAGATAACAGGAAACTGTGAATGCCTCACTCAACTGGAAATCCCAAAGGAACTTGGTGTTATCAGTGATGTGAGTAACACCTGACAGTTTAGCACATGGACACACCCTTTCTCTCTCCCGTCATGGTTACTCTGCTGTGGAGTGACTGTGGAGTGTTAGGAAAAGCAACTTGGGCTCCACCTTAAGGGTTTGACTAAGTGTCAATTTCAAAGGAAGTTGTAAGACTACTTTCAAACCACAACTCAAGTGACAGTATTACCTATACAGCTATTACTTTGATTACAAATATCCTGTAAAAGGCTGACTTTGATTTTCCGTCCGAGAACACACAAATTCACTACAGACCCGATGTTTTCATCTTTCCTTTGTAAGGAAAGATACCTCTCTTTTGCTGAGTGAAGAAAATATTTGTTAAAAGAGTAAAGTCAGGTCATACCAAAGTCTGCAAGCTTTAGTTCTCCTTTTTCATTAATTAGCAGATTTTGTGGCTTCAGATCTCGATGTAACACCTTTCTCCTGTGACAGTATGCCAAACCACGAAGAATCTGGTATAAAAATAGCTACAAAAGAGAACATTTATATAAATTAGACTAAAAATGTTAATCTACAGATTACATGACTAAATCAGCCCATTTGGGCACTACAGAGTTAAGTTTCTATTGTAAGTAGGACAAAAATACTCTGAAAAAGTAAGTTACTTTTCCATATGAACACATTCTGAACATCTTTATTATTGTTTACAGATTTAAAATCCCTTTACGCTAATGCACTGCTTTAACACGACATTTTACAACAAAGATTTCAAGAGCAATTTGTCCTGCTTAACTGAAGATAATCACAGGGCTGCTTATTTTTAAGCAAGCATTTACCAACTCTCTTCCCCACACTGAAGTCTTTAGAGGTAACTGTCTCTGACTATACTCAAGTTTCCTTCTGCCGCAGAATCCCTTCTGAAAACGTAGCTCACCATCCTTTTTATCCAATTGTGCTAAACTATGTAAATAATGTTTTGGCAGGCTACTGGAAAAATACACTTGGGATTCACAAGCCCACAAAACATGGAGAAATGAGTATTACTAAAATAGCCCAACAGTCTCTGGTATTTATATTCATCCCCTCACCTTGACACACACAGGTTTATTTTAGTCCTTTGGAACAGCGAGCCAAGCAAGCAACTTCAGTCATGCATATTAATGCTGCACATATATAGACACAGAAGTAGTAAGGGATGAAGAAAGGTTTAGCAGAGGGCAGCCAAGCAAGTTTACTATATCGCTGCATTAAGAACCACTATTTTGCAGTTTCTGTATGCATAAAGGGTCTGATCTTAAACATGGTACTTATGAGTAGCCACTGCTGGCATTTACCAACAACAGTCCTCAGCCAGCACAGATGATCAAATATATAATGAAAAAATACAGAGCGTTACAGAAAACAACGTTTACCAATGTGACAAACTCAGCATGCAATAGGACTTTTGAAGAGAAATACCAGAATGTTTTTATATGGCCATTTGCTAATACATCAGTACCAGGTGACGCACCAAATTCTTTTTCCTAAACTAGACAAATACACAGCAGGTGTAGATTACATCCATCTGTTCTCAGCCTGCTTATGTGGGATTTATTCGTTCTAGAAAAAAAAGGAATTTGGATCGATATTTTTCTTTCTTTTCTTTTTCAAAGAGCAGAATGAGAAGCAACAAGTTTTGTTCCATCTACTCATGCCCATACTGTTGCAGTTGTCAGTCCCAAGCAGTATTAACAGGACTGCTGTGGAAATTGATAGCCACCTTCAGTAAGCACTGGGACTGCAAAGATTAGTCAAGAAGGCAAAACAGATTATTCTACAGAAATTGTGGATCTTCACTGTAGTTGGCATGCATTCTTTTGGAATTGAACAGGATGATATGTATTAGCTCAAAATTTTGTTTGAAACAGTAATACCTGCAGAGATCACACACATCTTTACATTAGACATCTTCATTTTGTTAAAACTCAAAACCCTAGAATTAGCTGAGGAATATGAGGGGAACGATGACAGGGAGGTCTCTCAAATGTTAATAATGACCCAAACGCTCCCAGTTATTGTAAGGTAAGCACTTGCAGCTACTACAGTTAAGCATCTGCTCTGGTTTCCCAGTGCCAAAGGTAGTGACCGTATAAATCTGCTCTTAGGGCATAGCTTAAACCATAGATAAACAAGGAAGAACAGTTCCTCTGCTTAGTTCATATTACCACAACCAGATTCTGCTTGTTCTCTAACTGCACTCATTACAGGAGTCAGCTTTCCACTTACAGCTTTATTTTTTCTAAGCTTAAAGCACTCCTTATTAACTTGTAGTTAATTGAAAACACAAGCGTAATTATGTTTTTTGTTGTCTCTCTGAACTAGATACAAATTAAAGAACTTCCCTTTGCAGACTCTCAAAGGAAGCAGAAGAGTAGGTTAAGGGATGATATCTCTCTCTAGAGATACTTACTGCAATGTGACAACAGAATAGAAGAAAAAAGCTATCCAAACAGCAGCTGATTATCTAGACTGAATCCCATATGCAATTCAACTAAGAACAGATTTTTCAACATGCAACTAAGCCAAAACCAAGGATGACAACTCTACTGCAATGCACACAAACCCCATCGCTTCACAGTATTTAGTACATTGCATTGTCAACCACATTTGTGCCATGTGCTCCTGTACATGAATAAGGCTGCAACACAGCAGGGTTATACTGGTAACACATCCTCCTTGGATAGCTTCACTCATTTCAAGATAGTATTGTCCTCTGTTTGGAATCTTGTTTATAAAGCTGTAAGTATTAATGAATATAAGTTATTCCAGTTTTCCAAATAAAAATCTGTTTGTTACAAGAGAGGTAACACTTGAACCTGAGTTAGTTTCAGCAGGCTGGATTGCCAAACTGAGTTGCTTGACCTGGCCAGAATCATAGTTAAAAGCAACAGACAATTAAACCTTAAAGAAAACTATTTCTATTTTATTACTAATGGAAAGATGAACATTGCTCATTCTTAAATACGTACTATTAATTTCTTACCTGTGTGGTAGACAATGGCATTCAAACCCACATTCACAATTACAGTCACATTTTCCTCAGTGTGCACATATACATTTTATTTGAGGACATACCAAACTACAGACTTAATAAATAAGCATAAAATAATGGAAGGACAAGAAGAAGTCAAGAGAGTTATAAATGGGTTTTTTTAGGAAGTTTTGGATTTTAAATATATAACTTCTAAGAGAATAAAAGTTATGTAATCTCCTGGTTTCAGTGCTTTAAACTGAGTCATCCAAACCAACAAGAAAGACTCCATCTGATGTCAAATGTAGTCAAGCCGGGCCCAAAGGTCAAAAAGAAAGTTAAGTTTCCTGATTTTATTTAACTTTTTAAAAAAACCCTAAACCATAGGGCTTCTGGTGACTAAATTCTCTGAAATTCTTAGAACAGAGAAAGCTGGAAGACAGTCACTGTCACTGAAAACACTCACCTTTACGTTGTGCATACTCATGATGTTTCCACAGTCATCCATGTACTGCTTCAGATCCTTGTCCTGTCAAAACACCATCATCATTGTTCAGTAAAATTGTGGACAACAGATTGCGTGAATATTATTTACTGTTAGAACTGAAATAATTCATCAGAAAACTGAGTTTTCTGCAAAAGATGTTCAATGATAAAAAACCCAAAAGCCTGAACATGCAGAAAACTCTGGCTTTCCAGAGGACAAACACTCATATTTTCCAGCAAGTTCCATCATCTCAGGCAACATTATTTATTGCCTTCTCCTCCATCTTGTGTGTGGCACAGTACTTTATGAAATTGTTATGTAATTCTCCAATTACATTGGAAGTAAAGAGCTTTTCTTTATCCCCCTTTTATACTTATATATTCCAGCATATTATACAAAAAGATCATTAAGTAAAGGTTCAGTGAGAAAGTGAAAAATCTACAACGCAAGAGGCGAGCAAGTGCGATATGTAATTGTGGACGCTTGCTTGAAAAGATTGTTACAAAATGATGGAATGTGTTGTTTACTTCTAAGTATACTTTTTCCTGAGCTAACTTGTGAGAGTTGCATCATAACAGAAAAATATCGTTTGAATAATAATCCTATTATCCTTTTTTACAGTTAACTATTTTGGTACAAGTAGACAGTTTGCTCAGGTAGATCACCATTAACTGCTATTAATGAAACTCTGAAATGATCAGAACAGTATTTACTGATTTACTGCAATTTAAGAACTGAATACACTTGTCTCATTTTCAGCTGCATGATTCTAGATGCAGGAAAAAACGATAACAGTCTCAGTATTCTTAAAAAGAGTAGAGAATTATACGACGTCTGTGTTACTTAGAAACAATAAACTGAACATAAAGCTTGCTGGTTGTCTAAGCACTTACCAGATATTCGAAAACAAGAGTCAAAGACTTGTCTGTGTGCACAATATCATGTAATGTAACAATATTTGCATGCTTCAGATCTTTTAATAATGACACTGTAAAAGAGAATTACAAGTAAATAAACACAAAACACACAAGCAGTAAATACATTACTAGTAAGTTCATACATATAAGCTATTTATTTTTCTTAAACTAAAAAAAGCTATTTTTAAGAACATAATACTCATATAGATTGTTAGTAAGAAAGGTATTTAATCAAAACACCAAAAAGACATTTGAGTGACAAACTGTAAATATTTCCTAAATTACAGAATCATAGAATGGTTAGGGTTGGAAGGGGCCTCAAAGATCATCTAGTTCCAAACCCCCTGCCATGGGCAGGGACACCCTCCACTACACCAGGCTGCTCAACGCCTCATCCAACCCAGCCTTTTCAGGCAGAAGTAGTAATTTGGTAAAATGTATTCTGAATCCCTGAAAGTTACACACTAATAATAGCTTAATTCAGTATAAAATCATCCATTTATAACACTGCATTTGAGAACGCAATCACTCTCCATAAAGTAAACACATTTGAAACACTAACTCTTAACACGTCTAGATGAAAATTTTCCCCATCAAAACTAATACCAATTCCATTAATCTCTCATGTAGCCTATGTATTTCCAAGTACCAACAGTACTTTGATCAAAAAGAAATCCAGAAGTATCTGAAATTCTAAGAAGTAAAAAAAAGGTCACCTTCTCTTATGGCTGTGCATGGTGCTCCCTCTTCATGTTCCAGTCGGATTTCTTTCAGAGCTACCAGGTTCTCTGTCAATTTACTTCTCCCCTTATAAACTGTTGCGTAAGTACCCTACAACACGGAAAAAGAAGAAAACTTTTACAAGTTGTTCCTTCATTGAAAGATCAGTTAAAAAAGAGAATATAAACTTCTGTCTGAGGTTATAATAGGTTTCGTTTTGGATATGAATAGTTTTTACATTGTCTTCTTTTGATACATGTAAAACTACAAAAATATTTTGTAAGCACAGGTCTGAACACACAGAAGACACAAGGGATGCATATGCTTAACAAGTCTGAAAATTACCTGGAAAACTATACACTATGTAGCTACCAAAGAAGCCAGATCAGGTAGCGTTAAGTTCACCAAGTTCACTGCTGGGATCATTTACCCTTGAAAGTCTCTATTTGATTAGAAGCAGCTCAGGTATCTCTACACTACACTGCAGTTATGTTTCCGAAGGCGGCAGACATACTCTTCCATTACTTTTATGAAAGCATATAACTCGTTTTGATAGCTTCTTCTCTTCGTTACATATTTTACATAAGCATTTTTTCTCTTTTTTTTTGGGGGGGTGGGGGTGGGGTGTCAAAGTCATTTTGGTTGACATAACAAACTGTGAATATTATGAAGCTTATCTTTTGCAATTCTTTTTTTTTTTTTTGCTTAGACAGTAAGAGATTCAGAACTCCCGAGGCATGTTACATAATGTCAAGAAATTCTGACAAAACAGCAAGCAGGTACAGCTAATCCCAGCAATTTCACAGAGCAAACAATAAAGCTACAGAATCTGCCCTAGGTTGCAGTACATACCTGATGCTGTCCACTGCACTTTGTAAGCAAGTGAAATAATGTACATCCACAACTATGACTTGATAGCTACTAGAATAACATTCCTCCAAAGATATGCAATGTTATGTCATGTCTAGTGACCCACCTTACAAGTACTAGAGGCAAAATAAAAAATAAACGTGTTTGGAAATGAAAATGTTGCAAACAGAGGACTAGCTGCAATATTCACAGCAGAGATGCTAACCAGCCCTGCTTTCTTCTGCAACATTCAGTGTGTCCCATTCCAGTTCTTGTCTATTTTTGATCCTGTTGGCCAATCTCAGTCAAACTGGACAGGACTGACACCTGATCCCTCCTGAATTCTACTGTTTCTCTGGAAGTGAGAGGCTGAGTGGAGGTAGGAAGCTGTATTGCTGCCCTCCCAGAAGGAAAGGCAAACTCAGTGTTATGTATTTCACTTGGCAGCACCCGGCTGGCTGCCCAGCTCAGGCGTGCAGGCTTCTCTACCAACACATGCACAGCTACCGCCTGCTCCCTGCAAGCGCTGGCTTCTTGTCCAGCACGATTGCTCCCTCACACCTAACTTGTGGCAGGAGAATATCAGACTTCACTAGTTTTACTATCAACAGAAGAATTTTGTCTATCTGCATACAAATTTGGGCTACGTAAAAAGGTCACAGATCATTTGCTAATGGAGTCTTGCTCTGTCCCAGCTCAGTGATGGTTTTCCTGCTTTTTTTTCCCTATTATATATGAATAGAACATTTGTGTGGTTGTGACATTGTTATACATGTTGAATAAGTCTAGTTTACTGAAAAGATAAATTCATAGAATCATCATAGAATCACAGAATACCAGGTTGGAAGGGACTGGTACATCTGGTACAAACTTATTGGCAAAACCACAGTCTAGACAAGATGGTCCAGCACCCTGTCCAGTCAAATATTAAAAGTGTCCAATGTTGGGGAATCCATCACTTCCCTGGGGAGATGATTCCAATGGCTGATTGTTCTCATCGTGAAAAATTTTCCTCTTGTGTCCAATCGAAACTTCCCCAGGAGTGACTTGTACCCATTACCCTTCATCTTTTCCACGTGACTCCTTGTATAAAGGGAGTCTCCATCTTCTTTGTAGCCCAATTCAATGGGTATTTTGAGGGATATGGAGATTTTCAGTTAACATTTATGTATAATTTTACCAAGACTGTTATCAAAGCAGTAATCTTTTCGAAAGAAAGCTATACGTACCTCTCCAAGCTTTTCTAACTTGATATAGGTTTCCATTTTTCCAAAACCAATCTCTGACTGCAGTGAAAAGAAATGGAAAAAACTTATCATTAAAACAGAACACTTTATTTATACATCATTTACATCAGCAAGCTAAACTTTGTTTCAGCAAAATACCTGATAGTACTTGACCAAACACTGCACAATTCCGCTATTTTATGAACAACTTCGCATATTATGATATAAATGCATCCCAACATCCAAGACTAATGCTCAGCCTGTTGGCCAGTCTGCTGTGTATCCTGGGAGGACTATGTACTGAGTTACAATTAGATGAAAACCCCACTTTATCCCATCTCCTACTTATGTCTTCTCCGCTCTTCTGATCTGATTACTGCTAATGAGGTTGTTATAGCTTAAAGCACAGAAGTCACCTCAAACTATTCCATCCTTCCTCTTGCTTAGCATAACCATATGCTCCTGCTTCTTTCAAAGTAACTTTCATTACTTATTTGCTCTCTACCAATATATATAACATGTCCAAGACCTCAGCTTCAGTTTTCCTCTCCCATTCGGACCTCTCAATGCCTTTCAGTCTAAAGCTCTGCTAGTAAAATCCCTAAACATCATTCTTCAACAAGCTGCAGCTTTGTCTCAACACTTTACGTTTCATGGCTCATAGCTTCAAGTCTTTGTGTATTTTATTTGGATCTATGCACCTTCTCTTTTTATGTCATCAACTTAGCTCTGCAATGCACACTAGGAGGGTTTGCCTGCCTATATAATACCTTTTTCTGAAGACTGTTAAGATCATTACTCCTTTCCTGTTCAAATCCACTGCTACTCTCGTATTTAATACACTTACGTCTTACACTCTCATATTTAATACATTTATGTCTTTAATACACTTAGACATTTTCATGTAAGACCATTGTCAACTACATCAAAGCTTGATATTTTTCTTACAGCATAAAGAATGCTGAAAGTAGACGTGTAAAACACATGAATTTTTAAACCAATTTACAAAGCGCACATAGTCTGTATTCTGTCAAAATCTAAAATCCATAGGCTTCATGGGGTTTTGCTTTACTTACAATTGAACATAAACTAAGACAAAAATGCCAGGTTTTCTCCCTAGCATCACCTCCTCCTTCCACTTTCAAACAGCTCTCCAGCTGCTACTTCTTTGTAAGAAATGATACTTTGATCTCGGACTGGCTTCAGCACCTATGCCTGTCCACCAGTCTACACTGATTTGCTCCTAAAATCTGATGGATATTAAAGTTGTATATTATTTCATGGTAACACAGTGTAACACATGCAGAAAAATACATCTGACATAAGTGCAAGATCTTGTCTGTAAACATATTTGACATATCTAAGAAAAAGACGGACACATAATTATGTTACCATAGTATTAAGAGTAATTCTGCTTTATTAAATTAGTGTTTGAATTGAAACGTTTTACAAACTGCATAAGGATACTTTAGCATCAATCATATTTAGGAGCTTGCTGAAGTAAAGTTGTTTAACTCAAAATACAAGTGAAGTTAATATCTGACAACCCTTGTAACTCCAGCAAGATTTTAAACATACCACTGATATAGATAAAATGCTAGTAAAATAAATATTATGTTTCCAAAGTGCATTTTGACCTACTTAAACAAACATATCTTGAAGTGAGTATTAGATAGTATTAGAATTAAAAAGATAGGCTGCTTAGCTTACAGGAGAAACTAAAGGAGAACTCATAGACAGTGGCCTTGTTATTGCCAGACAGTCTGGAACACAACTTAAAAGTCTTATTTCTAAGAAACCTCGACGTTGTTCATCAAGACCAACAAAATCTTCTTTAGACAATAAAATCATATAATATTTCCTACATACAGAGAACAGATATTCTTCAAGACCTGCCTTTCAATGTGCTTAATTTTTTAATCACATTTTGGTTGCATACCACTCATAAGAAAAACTAATTTTTTGATTCCTCAAATTCAGATCAATTTCTTTTTTCCTTCAAAATAATTTATGAATTATTTAATTGTTTTCTGCAATACACATCTGTCTATCTTGACTTACACAGAAACACTGATGCATTGTGTTTATGGTCTTTTACTTTTAGTGGCTGGTGCGTTGAGTTACACCTATGCTACTGCACATGCATGTACACGTATACACAAAATACAATTACCATAAAAGCTATTTTTTTTTTGTTGTATTTCAAAGAAACACACCAGACCAAGTATAACAAGTCCTCACTTGATACTTTTTATAGCTTTTTTCCCTTTGATTCCTACTAAACCTTGAAAAGAGACATGCCTTTGAAGCAGAGCACAATATTCATATATTGTAATTAACAGTCTGCTAGCAAGCTTTCAATGACAATCTCAGAATAACAAGTCCTTGAATTTCTTCTTTTTAAAGGTTAGCTTTAAATGGTGAAAGGACAATGCAACAAAGGCATGCCTGCCTATCACAGCACTGCTGGCAGGTTTCATTTTGGACTTTTAAACCCTGAAAGCGTTTTTATAAGGCAAACCAAAACAGCCTTGTGAAAGGAGGCTGATTCCATACACACATCATATTCATTAGAGGGCACTGTTTTTCTGTCTGTCTTCCAGAACACAACAAGGAGAGAACTTCAACTGCTCTTAGGGCTCAATGTTACACAAGCAAGGGAATTTATATACACAAGAAACTCTCCCCAGGCCCCAAATACTGTATTCCACTGAAAAGGTACTGCTGAAGAGGTACTCCACCAGTGCCTGAAAAGAGAAGGTTTGAGAAATTCTATTCATCAGTTCAATGCTACATCAGTAACTAAGTGGTTAACGAGCAACAAAATTCTGACACAAATATTTAAGCTTGCTATGTTATTATTACTTCCAGTGTTTTGATCCAGTCTTTTCTTCTTTTAATATTGTTCTTGTAAAAGGTGACATGCAGATCGGAGCTTTAGTCTAGCACACTAAATTGTATTTTTTCAGGAGAAAAATACATGATAAAACTCATCCATTGCTTTGTTACAGACATTATTAATTCACAAAGAATAAAATAAAGATATTTCACAGCCAACAAAATTAACTCACTACACGTACTTTCATATTTATTTTTCAGCAAATAAGCCATTAAATCAAGAAAACAAAGAACAATGCGGATTTCATAAAACTATCTGCAAAGAAGTTCTTGCCAATGAATTTGCTCAGGAAGTCAGTCATGGTCTAGCAATTCTTTAAAACCTCAATTAACATTAAGAAAGCTGAAAGATCAAATTATGATTGAAGTGTAACAATTTTTGTAAAAATAAGACAATAATGGGTTTTTTTTACTATGTCAGGGATATGCATATTTTGTCTGAGTGTCCAGGATTTCTAGTGTTAGTACTCTAATTGCAGTACAGGAATCCTCATTCTGCCATCTCCAAGGACAGACTTATTTTTTTAAATAACCTAATAATCTAAAAAGATACACGTGAATTTACTCATTCATACTCTTAGGAACTCACGTATGTTTGTTTTTTTTTTAAAATCTATCATCCCAACAGCAATTCTGAGAAACAAAATTTGTTACCAAATAGAAAAAGAACAGTGAGGAGGACCTCCTTTCATATCATGCTGCTTCAAGGCCTTCCTCTATATCGCGTGAAAGTCCCAGCCTTGACCTAAGGCTACGTGGCCTATTTCCTCAAACAGACCATCCCTGCTCTGAAACACAGAAGGAATTAAATAGGTGCTTTGGGAGTTGAATGTAGCCACCGATTTCCATGGGTCAAGATCTTCACTGAGAAATGACAGGGCCAAGGTTGCAGAAGAGAAATGAAAGAAAGGGTGAAATTCTTCAATGGAGTTTGTCAGGTGCACGCTCAAGTGCCCTGTCATTTCAGGACATAAAAGCCAAGGTGTAAATGAAGTTAAGTCATACCTACGGTATACAGACATCTGTATTAAATGGAACCTGAAGACCTGCGAGGTTGTTTTAGCAAGGCACAGGCATTACACTTACTAGTGATGCTCTACGAGAACGTCGACTCATTGGCTGATCAAAGGGTGGGCTGTTAATCTGCAGCTTTTCAAGATAGCCATCGGGTATCCTGATGTCAGCAGGCAGGGACAAGCGCTTGTTCAAATCCTGCAGTAAATAATGTTACAAAGAGAAGGGTCAAGTATAATTCAGAATTTCCTAAAATGTTTTTCAACACCTGTAGTGGTACTGCTTTTATTGTGTTACCATTTTACACTGAAATATGTATATGAATGAAAAATAAGTAATCCCATAGAAATTGTTTTAATAACATACTCTCTTCTAATAATACTTCAAATTGCTTAGATAACAGATCAAAAAACCCCAATGCTTTACAAACTCATTACTCTAGCAAAAGGAATAAAATATTAAAATGTAATTAATTACATTGTGGATAAATTTATTGAGTTTACTTGACCACTTATACACACCTGGAATACCAGAAACTGGGAATTCAGAGGCTGGTAAATACATTTCTTTTCATATAGGAAGTACATTTGAATAACAAGAGATCTCCGCAATTCAAAATACATTTATTACTCTTTCTCTGACTACAAAAAGTGATAAATTTACTTCAACTTCCATTTTTCCAGTCTTATAAAATAGAATCACTTCATTTTTAGAGTCAAACTATTTCAAATGTTAATACATTTTTCTATTTCAACCTTTTTATTCTAGGATCATCAGAAAACCAAACTGCCATTACATAAATGTAGTTTTCCCTATTTTTAGATTGTTTTTCACCAGTAATTTTTTCCAACAACAACATGTATCATTTCTAAGACGAGGGAAAAAAAATTACTTCACCTTTCAGCAAACACACACAAAAAGATTTTTTTTGGGGTGGCTGCATATTCCCATCAATTTTTTATTTTTAGTTTGACTTTAATCTCAAACGTGCCAGAAAATGAAATATCAAATATTCTCTTAAAGCAGTAAGTCACTGCCACAGAGATACAAGGGAAACATATCCAGATTCACAAAAA